TGATTTAATTGATTATTAATTTTAGACCACCATCACAACCGATGTCGACAATTTGCCTATAAATAACGCTTTATTGCAGTTGGTTAGCACCAACTCAAATAACAACAGTAACAACAACTTTGGAAATGCCAGCGACCACAGAAATAACAATGGTGGCGGAAGTGAAGGCCCCTCAAGATGTGACGTCGACTCGAATGCGGTGGCTAGACATATACCTCCAAGTGTACGCCAGCTAAATCCGGAAGATCTGAAATGCTATAACTTGGCAAACAAGTGTATAGAAAGTCTGGCGCTGTATCTGAAATCCCTTGTTACCAACAATGGCAGCTTTGGAAGTCCACTTTCGCGACCGATGCAACGAAAACTTGTTACTTTAGTTAACACACAGTTAATGGAGCGCGAAGGACGTGAGCGCGTGTTGCGAGCGGCACGGTCTCTAGGCGAACGCACTGTTACCGAACTAATTCTGCAGCATCAAAACCCACAGCAGCTAAGTTCGAATCTATGGGCAGCTGTTCGCTCACGTGGTTGTCAGTTTTTGGGGCCCGCAATGCAAGAGGAAGTTCTGAAATTGGTTTTACAGGCACTGGAAGATGGAACGGCTTATTCTCGGAAAGTTTTAGTGATGTACGTTGTCCAGAGATTAGAACCTCGATTTCCGCAGGCGTCAAAAACAAGTATCGGGCATGTTGTACAGTTATTGTATCGCGCCAGCTGCTTTAAAGTATCGAAACGCGAAGCCGACTCATCTCTGATGCAGTTAAAGGAAGAGTTTCGTACTTACGATGCACTTCGACGTGAACACGACGCTCAAATCGTACAAATAGCCACGGAAGCAGGGTTACGCATAGCTCCAGATCAATGGTCTTCCCTGCTTTATGGGGATACAGTACATAAGTCGCATATGCAAAGCATTATTGACAAATTACAAACGCCTTCCTCTTTCGCGCAATCTGTACAAGAGTTGGTTATTGCTCTGCAACGCACGGGCGATCCGGCAAATTTATCCGGTTTGCGAACACATCTCAAGCATTTAGCCGGCATCGATCCTTCGCTAGAGAGTCCGCCATCATCATGGCAGGATGTGAGTAAAGCATTGGAAGCTGTTCATGAGGTCGTGGTGGGACTGGTGGAGTTCGTACAACATCATGGAAATCGCAAGCTGCAAGAGTACAGTACTGGTCAGACGAGCACGAACACGAAGTATAAAATAAGTTTGTGCCGTGATTTGACCGTGAGACGCAATTGCCCTCGTGGTTCAAGTTGCACTTTTGCACATTCAGAAGAGGAATTGGAGAAATACCGTGCTAAGAATCGTAAAAGTACGAAACTTGGCAGCAGTAGTGATCACACCGGTGCAGGGCCAATTGCCAGTGGAAACGTAAATAATACGAACAATGTGAAAGGGGATTTTCCACCACACACGCACTCGCATAACCTGGGACACAATCACCACAATCCTCATCCGGCCGCTTTGCTCCATCCTGGAAACGAAAACTCCGCCCCAGTTTCTGCAACAACATCGCCATTTCGATTCGGCGGCCCCCCACCTATGCACGGCAAATTGCCTCGCGGTAGCTATGGCGATACTTCGTCATCTTTACATGCGCACGGCCCACCAGGCTCACACCATCAGATACGAGCCTTGCATCACAGTCCCATACCGTTAAACAATGGGCCAACTATACCGGGTCCAACCGCTGCACATCGCTACGATGCATCCTCCTTTGGAAATGCGTTGAATTATCCCATATCGGGGCCTGGATTATCGCCACATATGTCTCAGGGATTGTCCAACGTCAATAGCTCGCCGATGGCAATACGAAATTCCAGTGGTGGTGTACTCTCTCCCAGGAATTTTCAAACGAGTTTCCAAGCCCCGTCGCCACATCCGCCCCTACCACCAAATTTACCCACCAATAACCCACCGAAACTTCATGGCAATAACAATTTAGCCACATCGCTTAGCAGTCCACTGTCTAACAAGGGCATCTACAATGAATTCTACAATTCGGGGATGATAGGAACAAATACACGTGCCCCATCTTTATTTAGTAATAATAGTAGTAGTGGTGGTATCGTAGGTAGCGGTGGAGGCATAAACGGTGCAGAAATAAAAACCCATTTAGGGCCACCCGAAAAACTTATGCCGCCACACATCGGAGGCATGTGGGATCAACAACACCATCTGCAAATTGGAAATAGGCCAGCGGTCACCGACATATTGAACATAACTCCTGGTATTGGAGGCTCTCCAATGCATCAGTCCACGCCCCTATACCCACGCAGCGATAGCATGTCAATGTTTGCCAAGAAAGTTAACAATATGAATATGGATCTTAACAAAACGCTAAATGGACTTGCAATAGGTGACTCATATATGTTCAAGAACGATTATGGCATTGGCGACAATACAGATATTCCCAGAGGAGCACTGTCTAGCATGCCCAATCATAAAAACGGTTTGATTGGTGGCGATTTGCAATCGCGTCAATCTTTCTGGCATGCGCACAACAGCAATACGGGGCGTGGAGGAAATTTTGTAGACAATACACAAGAACGTACTTCAATTGTACATAGCATGGGCTTAAATCCATCGCCAGGTCCATTCCGCGACCGTGATAGTTTCGTTCGTTCAGACTCCATATTGGATGACGACGCCGCAACGTTCGAAGAGCCTGCCACATCTGCAAGCATGGGAAGTAAGTTTGGCCCCATATGTCCTATGTATAAAGGTCACAGTAGTACGGCTGCTGATGTGTCCAGCACCAATACATATCTCAATAGCTGGAGCAGTGGCGATGTCAGAAAGCAATCAACAAATAAGGAGCATCCGTTGCTGGACCGAAATAACTCTGGCGACATCAACTACTCAGTATTCTCAAGTGATACTGAGAACAGTCTGGCATTACAACTCCGTCAGCAACTGCAGCGCTCTGCTAATAGTCAACAGCAACAACGCCAACATCAAAATCATCAACAACAACAAAATCTGCATAGATCATTGGCATTTGATAATTTTAACAGCATTCAAAATTCATTGCTTCCAGATTTACCATTCAATCATATCAGCAATATAGCATTTCCTAATATGCTTTCCGATGTCGACGACAATGCCAATATCGACATAACTAAGGTTTTGCTAACTGCGCTATTTTATATCGAATATGTTGTACACTTTTTTTATTTTAGAATTCCTCGATGTGGAATAGTAGTTTAAAGGCAATGGATTCAAACTACTGGAATGATTCATTATCCAATGCAGCTGCAAACAGCAATGAACTACAAATTCAACGCCAACAGCACCACCAAAAGCAGCCGCAATTTCAGCAACAATTTATTAACAATAATAACAAAGGACGACATAGTGAAGAAGGTATCATAGATAGCGGCCGAATGAGAGATATTGAGCAAGAACTCTCTGAAATCGTGGACAAAAGCTGGTCGAATGCGGATGACAGCGGTATTAAGTTGTAGTAGATTGAGCATTAATGCAGGTAAGAGAACATAATATTACGAAAACAGTGGACTAACCGATGCCAGCAAAGCACCAGAAGCAAAGGGAGGCTCCTTCGAAACGATCGAACTGAGTTGAGCGTTGGATCGATAATTTCCCAAACAAACATACATATACATAAATATATAGCAACTGTGATTGGAGAGAACCTACATCGGTTGATTTATACGGAATGCCGAACAACTTAATACATTCACAAACACTCATTCTTTCAACTTTAGCATAAAGTAGAAAAACAAAAACAAGAAACAAATTTTAAGCCTAGCATATATGTATATCTATATATTTGATAGATATCTCCTAGATGAGAGCAAGATATATGCATACATGTAGAGAAAGAAAGATAGATCACGACAAGTTGAGAGGAACCAAAAAAACAGCCACTGCTGATGTCACGGACGTTGTAAGTGAATTTCTTTTTTGGTGAATTTTTTTCTGTGTTCGTTTAGAAAAGTAGATTGAAAGCGGTTCTAAGGAAAATACATTTTCCTCTACCCCAAATTGTTGCAAATTGCAATATACCTATGTATGTATGTAGAAAGAGAGCCAACAAGTGTGTAGCGTATGTAGAAACCGATCGTAGAGAAAGTATGCGCAAAACGACTATTATTATGTAATTATAACTAAAATCTTTTGTATTAGATAATATTGATTATGTAAATGTTAGCGATACTAACAATAGTAATGACGTGATCAATATGAAACTATATTTTATAGAAATTTAATGAAAACAAACTCAAACTCAAACTCAAAAATAATGTAATATTTTTGTATGAATGCCACCACTAACCGCATGATGTCGCTTTTATGCAGCCACCTTCCCTTCTTATCACACGATTGCAAACATACATACGAAATACAAAGGCCCATCCGGACGGTAAAAAGATATATGTACATACAAGTAAATATATTCATTCTAAAACGTTTTAGTGCTTTGCTCACTGCTTATATGTACATATGTATGTATGTATGTGCGTACTTCC